AACAAGTGATTGTTGTAATTTCATGAGATGAGACTATATATATCATTGGATGTACTCTTCAGTTCGTAAATTCTAGAATCACAACTCTGATACCGACTTACTCACCCTGAAGAATAGAGTTGCTTGAGAAGAGACCCTTTGAACTAAATATTTCATACTAGCTTTCTGAAACAGATTGAATAAGACAGAGAAAATTCGCTCAATTCCTTACTATATAATGCATGTAGTGTGCGATCTCATAACAGGCTACTGCACCCAAAAAGGAACTTTTCAACACTTAACTTTCACTTCCTACGCATACATCTCTGTATAGAAAACATCTTAGATTATCAGCGATGAGATTACGTCCTCTCGCTGCCAATGAACTTCTTCACAGTAACGATGCAGCAATATGCAAAAACAAACATAGACACAGGAGTGAGATCAGAATCTAAAAAGAAAGCTGTTCACATGGATTACAAAATAATGAGAAACATACTCGAAGCGATGCATCCTTTGCCACTCCAGACTGATGGAAAACGCAGCAGATAATTAATTGGCCAAAAGACTGGAGCAGGAATACAGAAAGCCTGAAAGTGAAGCGAGTCTTGATAAAGAAAGATATATTCTGTTGTAAATTAACCCAGAAGAAACTGGCTTAAAACAAAATTAGGCGTCCAAAGTTAAATTTTTTCCAAAATATGTTCTTGTGGGCGCCTTACGGAAGAATTAAATTTTTGTAAGCTAGGAATCAAAATGAAAAATACATGTCACGAGGACTTACATTGATTCCAGAAATTGAATGAAGAAGGACTAGTCCAATACACTGCGCAACGACTTTAACACCCATCTCGATCTTTAGAAGAGATGGCTGCATCATCTTCTCTTTAGCAACTGAAATTTTACGCAACTTCTTATGAAAACCTAATCAAGTTCTAAATCTCGCATTACGCCTCCACACGTTGACTCGCAGATTTTCTTAAGTCAAAATTTGACAGATAGAGGTTCGACTACTCAGAAGGATGTTTTTTTAGAACCTGCAGGCAAAGAGATATGAATCATACTGGTTGCGAATGATGGCTAGCAAATGATGGCCAACTTTCCCAGTTTGATAATGAAAGCCTGCATCTCAGCTCACTATGGTAAAAAAATGTTCATTAGTAGAGTTTTCAATGTTTGAGCATGGTTTGTAAACTATATCAAACGCACAAATTCTCAAAAGTACCTGCTGCATCATACTGCTCCAGCTTTTTGTTAAGCATTCGCTCAGTTTTGAAGTACGATGAAAACTCCGAGGTTGGTGATATCAATGCTAAATCGCTTTTGAGCTTTTGTACTTCTGCTCCCAATGACAATACTTCCGGATTCGCATGCTTAGTTTTGACATACGATTTGATCTGAAAAGGAACAAAAACATAAAATTCATTTCACTCATTACGTGAAGTACTCACAAGAACTTCAAACGCTCCCAATGGAGCAGATTGATAATTATATTTATACTCTGAAGCAAACGCGAACATATACCTCAGTCTGAACCAGAGACGAACGCAATTGAATACTTCCAACAAACCTCATAACGCTAGTGATTACCTATTACGAACAAGAAAGGGGTGGAGAAATTATTCTCACCGTATTTATTGCCCTGGATATGAGCGGCTGATAGAAAGATAACATCAGTGTTACCACTACCACAAGGCAGACTTCAAAGATTGAGGACGTATCCATAAGGCACGTGCTGTGCCTCCACAGATACTGGTCTTCCAAATCTGTTTCCTTCATGTAAGATCTGCAATAAGCAAAGAATTAAGCCATCTGATATTACCAAACAAAACAAGGCGTACCGGACCTTTTCCACTAGCGCACAACCTTCGTCGTGAGAGGTGGTGTAATGTGTGATCACACATCGCCTACCACAACACATCTTATTTTTCGCCGACCTAATAAAAGTGGAGGAGTTGTTTTGAGTTGTAATCCGTGAAAGGAGATGATGGAAAGGTCAGATCTTACAAGGAACTTTTTCGAGGTAGTCATATGGCGTTATGATTGCTGACGGGGAAATTGGGAATCTCGTACATTATTTTTCTTCTATGCCAATCTGAGATCATGTCCCACAAATTCAACATAGTACTTCACATAAGGTTCTCTGTCGATGAATCGACATCACTAGATAAGCAAATGTGAATATAGTAGAGCGGTGCGAACTTTGACAGCCAGTATGGCAAGATTCGCAGGTTTCTTTATTTGGAGTTTTCATGCTATACATGGTGGCTGAAACAGGGATTTGTACGCTGACCAACACCCGAGGCTATCTGTGCGATTGCACGCTATAACCCACAAAAGCTGAACGATTTGTGTTAAAGCTCTGCCTTCCCCAGCATACTCATTGCCCCTCTGGCCAATCGACTACATCTACTTCGATAGATTGGACAAATTTCCGCATGAAAGAACATTCAAACAGGAGACCCATGGCGAGTCAGGTGGCAAAGACTTTTGCGAGCTGTCGAGATACAAGCTATGGGTAGCGCAGATGTAGAGGAGCTAGCACCAACCGGGCGACCGGCGGCTCCCCCATTTCTCTCCCCTTTTCATGGATAAGAAGGATTTGGATGTAGGATTGTCAGGTACATATGCAGCTTCTGAACTTCACACAGCCTCTTAGCTCCCATAGTTGCATGTTAAGCTAACAACAAAAGCAAATCTATTTTACAATGGCAAGGATGTGTTTACAACGTGTTTGACACTGTTACATCCTTGAGCAGTAATTTGAATTTTGAACTTTCGCGCTTTGATTGCATATTTTTCTTTTTGGGACTAACCAAGAGCGGAGGGGGGGAAGCGCGGGTGTATGTCGAGTGGCGCGATTTTGGCTGTCACTAAGGGCACATCCGTAGTGGGCTCTATATTATATGGAATTTTAAAATTGTAATCTGTATTACCTTATATAGTAAAGAGCGTACAA